TAGAAGACCTCCAAGGTCCCTCCCGACTCTGTGGTTCTAAAAAGATCTGGGATGGTGCTCACTAGAGAGACGAGAGGTGGAAAAAGATGTCGGAAGACTGGAGGACTCTTGGATTAAAGCTTTCAAAACAGAATGAATCGGAATGATGAAACTTAAAACTGGCTTTGCCAGGCCACTCCGCCTCCGAAGGACTACAGCTCCCAGAATCCCTAACTAGCATAACTTCGGGCTCATAAACTTGGACGCAACTGTTCTGATTCACAAACATTGACTAACGAAGGAAAGCCATTCGGAGCACTCAAATCTGGCTTCGCGTTGCATTCCAAGTGAACGGTGTGCTTAATCAAGGTTTGTTAAATAAAGCCAACGTAATACTGCACCGGCTAGGTTCGTAAAACTACCTCCAACTCAATCCAACCCGACCATCAAAAGGCTGGCAACTTCGGTGCCAAGTGTCCCAAAGGGGCTTTTTTTCAAAAGGTAACTGAACTTTCTTCGTTTTGAAGACGTTTGGCTTCTCGTCCAAGAAGCTTCTTCAGTTCTGAAGAACTGAAGGATCTTTGGGACCTGCTTGACCTGGCTAACTTGAGAATCTCCACAGACCCTGGGTGCTACTACCCATCCTCCCCAGCCCCAGCCCCTTTCTCAACGTTTTGTCCTAGGACAATAATTTGCCCCTCCTTCGCTGTTGCTACAATCACCATGCACCTTCCAAAATAAATATTTTTCTTTTTTTCTTTCCTTCCTCCCTCTTTTTTTTCTTCCTTCCTTCCCTTTCTTTTTCTTTCTTCCTCCCTCCCTCCATCTTTCTTCCTTCCTCCCTTTTTTTCTTCCTTCCTTCCCTTTTTCTCTTCCTCCCTCCATCTTTTTCTTCCTTCCTTCCCTTTTTCTTCCTTCGTCCCTCCCTCCCTCCATCTTTCTTCCTTCCTTCCTTTTTCTTCCTTCCTTCCTCCATCTTTTTCTTCCTTCCTTCCTCCCCTTTTTCTTCCTTCCTTCCTTCCTCCCTTCCTTTTTCTTCCTTCCTTCCCTTTCTTCCTTCCTCTTTTTCTTCCTTCCTCCATCTTTCTTTTCTTCCTTCCTTCCCTTTTTCTTCCTTCCTTCCTTCCCCTTTTCTTTCCTTCCTTCCTTCCCTTTCTTTTTTTGCATTCGGTATTTCCGGGGGGTGGGGGGGACATAAAACAAAACAAAAGCAAGCTTAACGAGACAAAAGATGGGAGGTGGAAGAAATCAATTCACGCAAGAAACACAGCGTGGAGAAGCAGCCACAGAGCCAGAGCACGTCATATATAATCAACAGCACCACGATAAGAATCATTTCAGCACTTCGTAGCCAAGCTGGGTTTTCCGGTGGACGGCAGAGGTGACGGGGGGGAAAAAAAAGCAGGAAGAAAAATGTTTTACAGTTTCCGGAAAGAAAAAAAAAAGAAGGGAAAAGAAAAAAAAAAGGCTGTAACTGCTTTCCCACTCCTGAAACCCACCCACCCCACAAAAAAATGCTCTTTGGGGGCAGCTTCCTATTCGTACATCAGTTCAAAAAGCAGAGACTATAATTATTGGATGTTAAAAACCTCTATTGTGGAAGCATCCTGCAAAGGCACAAGATGTGATGCTGGTACATTTGTGCCACGAGGGTCAAAGGTATCCCCTGACACCCCCCAAATCCTTCAGAGGTGGCCAGGTTGGAAGTTATAGTTCACAATTATCTAGAGCAGCGCCCCCCCCCCCCATTTTTTTGGGTACCAGGGACCAGTTCTGGGGAAGGAGAGGATGTGGATTTGTGTGCTGCCTTCATCCCAGATGGAGCTTCGGTTGTTTGCACAACCTGGTTTCTGGCATGCCACGGACCGGGGGTTGTGGGGAGGTTGGGGACCCCTGATCTAAAGAGCCACAGCCCTCCTCCACTCCTACAGAGCCTCAGGTAGCTTCTTCTTAAAAAATGGTAACCTCACCTTGTGGCCAAAACCAATTCTGGTCCTCGTTTTGCATTGCTTCTCCTGGGGTGGACCGGTACCTGAAGGTGAGGTCTCTTCGTTTTTAAAGATTAAGGTAAAGGTAAAAGGTTCCCCTCGCACATATGTGCTAGTCGTTCCTGACTCTAGGGGGCGGTGCTCATCTCCGTTCCAAAGCCGAAGAGCCAGCGCTGTCCAAAGACGTCTCCGTGGTCATGTGGCCGGCATGACTCAACGCCAAAGGCGCACGGAAAACGCTGTTCCCTTCCCACCAAAGGTGGTCCCTATTTTTCTACTTGCATTTTTTTTTTTACCTGCTTTCGAACTGCTAGGTTGGCAGAAGCTGGGACGAGTCACGGGAGCTCACCCCGTTACGCGACAGCACTAGGGATTCGAACCGCTGAACTGCCAACCTTTCGATCGACAAGCTCAGTGTCTTAGCCCCTGAGCCACCGCGTCCCTTCATTTTATCTTTTAAAGATTAAATTGGCGCAAAAGTTGAGGGATCTAAATCTAAATCCCAAAGGATGTCGGTGTTCCTGGGTAAATCTCTCACGAGAGGGCATGGTTTTGGGCCATTAAAAATTGTCTTCAGAAGCAAGCGATTGTCCATTATTGGGAGAGAAAAAAAAACTGCCTATTTTAGGACTGTCTATCAAGAATCCTTTGTGAAGCAGGTGGGCTCCAGGGTAGAGCATTAAGAAATGTGACTCCCACCGGTGAAGAAATTGCACACACCCCTCCCCCAGGAGACAGCTCAGCTATTTGGGAATATGCAGGATACTCAGAGCAATGAAGCTGGTGGCATATACAGGTAGTCCTCGAGTTACGACCACCCTTGAGCCCAAAAATGTATGTTGCTCAATGAAGCGTCTGTTAAGCGTTTTTGAGGCTTATCTTGCCACAGCGGTTTGTTAAGGGGATCGTTGCATTTAAAGCAGTAACGGAGTCGGAAGGGACCTTGGAGGTCTTCTAGTCCAACCCCCTGTTTAGGCAGGAAGCCCTACACCACTTCAGACAAATGGTTATCCAACCTCTTCTTCAAAACTTTCAGTGTTGGAGCATTCACAACTTCTGGTGGCAAGTTGTTCCGCTGATTAATTGTTCTCACTGTCAGGAAATTTCTCCTTAGTTCTATGGGGCTGACACATCCTGCTAGTTTTATTTTAAACGAAAGTTTACATACTACAATGGCCAGGTTCATACAACACGCAAATCTACCGTGTTTCCCCCAAAATAAGACCGGGTCTTATATTAGTTTTTACTCCAAAAGACGCATTAGGGCTTATTTCCCAGTTAGATCTTATTTTGGGGAGGAAATACGGTACTAAATGCATCCATCTGGCTGACAATCTTAACTGGGGCTTATTTTTGGGATAGGGCATCCTGAAAAAACAACACTAGGGCTTATTTTCCAGCTGAGTCTTATTTTAGGGGAAACAGGGTAACATGAAATGCGTGATTTATCATGATGGGTGAACCTGTTCTCCAAGAAAAACGTGGAGTTCTCCAGAACAAAAAGTCAGAAAATTAATCAGTTCAAAGACTAGCAAGCAAAATTCTACTCGTGTAAAGGTAACGTTGTTTTATAGACCAGGGATCTCCAAACTTGGGCAATTTTAAGACGTGTGGACTTCAACTCCCAGAATTCTCCTCAGTCAGCCATGCTGGTTGGGGGAATTCTGGGAGTTGAAGTCCACACCTCTTAAGAGTTGCCACGTTTGGAGTCTCCCCGATAATAAGCCAGTGTTTCTTAACTTCAGCAGCTTAAAGATGTGTGGAATTCTGGGAGCTGTAGTCCAGATATCTTGAAACATGCTGGCTGGGGAATTCTGGGAGTTGAAGTCCACCCCTCTTAGAGTGGCCAAATTTGAGAATCACTACTACAGATCCTCCTCCGCCAATCTAGCTTTCTTCACATTTGTTGGGCCTACTAGAAAAGATAACCCAGACAGGAAAAACAACTTTGGCAAGAGAGAGACTGGCTTGGAAAAGCACATGACTTGATAGCAGACAATTGAGATCTTGATCCTTCTGAAAACGATCAAAAGCTTTACTGTTTAGAAAGATTATTGGCTTGAGATTTTCCCCTCCAAGCTTTGCAGATACGCTGCTCAACTCCCTCAGCACCCCTGTAACATATGTAACAGTAACAGAGTGGGAAGGGACCTTGGAGGTCATCTAGTCCGACCCCCCTTGGAGGCCCCCTGCTCTCGTCTCTCTGTTTCTCCTGCAAACAGGAGCCTGAGTGGCGCAGGAGGCTAATGCCTCCTACTAAGGCAGCATTTAACATCCAGCTGCCTGCAATTACTGCGAGTTCAATTCTCACCAGGCTCAAGGTCGACTCAGCCTTCCATCCTTTCTAAGGTGGGTAAAATGAGGACCCGGTTTGTGGGAGCCATAAGCTGACTTTGTATAAATATATACAAAAGTATGAAGGCTATTGCTTAACGCACTGTAAGCCGCCCTGAGTCTCCGGAGAAGGGCGGCATATAAAAATAAATAAATTAAAAAAAAAAACAGAATCACATCAATCAAAAATTATCCACTTTCCTCAAATTCATGGGAAAGGCCTCGCCTGACAGATGCAACCTAACTTTTTTTCCTTTTTTAAAAAAAATAAATAAATAAAAAATAAAAATAAAAGCTCATTGCCAATTTTGCTCCATCCAGGCTCAGCAAACTGGCTTGTCAACTTTTTCAAAAGTCTGTTAAGAGATTCTCAGTCACTCTGAACCTGGAGAGAGAGAGAGAAAAAAAGCATCTTTCGGACAACTTTTTCAAAAGTTTTTTTTGCTACTACTTTTTTCCCCCAATTCCAAATGCTTAAGCCTTTTGACCGGAAATGGATTTTTAAGGGAAAATCACGGACGAACAAGCCATGGGAATGGAAGCGTCACCCAGCAGCCTTGGGAGGTCCCGTTTGCGGATGGACTGAAAAGGGGGAAAAAATAAAACTTTTCTGGTCCCCTCAGTTACAGCCTCTTTCAACATTTTTCTTTCAGAAGCAGGGTGGGTGGGTGGGATTGTACAAGAAAATGACAGACTTGCCTTGTGAGGTCGAAAAGAGAGAGACAGGCTGAGAGGAAGTAACAAAGGAATCTGAAAGGGAAATACAGAGGATGAGACGTGGTTTAAGCCTAAAAAAAGGAGGCAAGCAAGTATACGGTTAATCAGGAAGGCGCCAAGACACCTGTTCTCAGGTGCCCGAACTGGAAAACGGCGGCGGAGGGGATGGTGGTGGTGGGAGAATGGGAGGCTGCTCACTCACCTTGATGTAAAAGTACGTATGAAACGTAGGGCAACTGCCCAGCTCTTACCCAGCTGCTCCAGAAGGTAAAAAGGACAGGCGTGGAACATGAGCATTAACTTAAGTGATTCGGTTTTTTAAAAAATTAATTTTTAAGTAGCGAAGAAGCACCTTTTGTTTGGACGTCATGAAAAGCCACAACAGAGGTGGCCCTTGATCTAGGCGTTTCCTGCCTGAGCAGGGGGTTGGACTAGAAGACCTCCAAGGTCCCTTCCAACTCCTTTATCCTTCCTCCCTTCCTTCCCTTCCCCAACAAATGGAGTTTTTAAAGAAGAGATTGGAGAACCATTCGTCTGAGATGTTATAGGGTCTCCTGCTCGAGCAGGGGGTTGGACTAGAAGACTTCCAAGGTCCCTCCCAACTCTTTTACCGACCTCGGAAGGACAGAAAGCTGCGTCAACCTTAAGCCTGGTTGCCAGAATCGAACTGCCAAACTGCTAGCAGCCGGCAGTCAGCAGATGTAGCCTGCAGTACCTCATTATACCACTGCACTACCACAGCTCAGTAGAGGTTTGGCTATTTTAAGGGGGGGAGGGAGGCGCTCTAGGAATGGACATTACTATGGCAAGGGATGAATTAAATCAGGGGTCCCCAAAGGTTGGTTCAAATGATCTCTCCAAGGCCCGTTCCCTTCCCGACGTTACAAAATTCTAACACCATACACAACCTCCCCAAAGTCCCCATCCTCAGCTCTCCAAGTCAATCTTTTGGTTTTGGGTGAAACAGACACATCTCAAAGAATGCGCAACTGGTTCGGCTTGGCAACTATCTTCCTGAGACCATGCTTGATGGGGGGGGAAAAAAATGACCCAGAGATTTCTCCAACCTTTCTCCAACCTCAAACAGTTTGGAAGGAAGGAAGGAAGGAAGGAAGGAAGGAAGGAAGGAAGGAAGGAGAAAGAAGGAAGGAAGAGAAAGAAAGGAAGGAAGGAAGGAAGAAGGGGAGGGAGGGAGGAAGAGAAAGGAAGGAAGAAGGGGAGGAAGGAAGGAAAGAGAAAGGAAGGAAGGAAGGAAGAGAAAGAAGGAAGAAAAAGGAAGGAAGGAAAGAAGGAAGAGAAAGAAAGGAAGGAAGAGAAAGAAAGGAAGGAAGGAAGGGGAGGGAGGAAGGAAGGAAGAGAAAAGAAGGGAGGGAGGAAGGAAGAAAGGAAGAAGGAAGGAAGAAGGGGAGGAAGGAAGAAAGGAAGAGAAAGAAAGAAGGAATGAAAGAAGAAGGGAAGGAAAGGGAAGATTAGTAATGTGCCCAAACTCAAGATGTACCAATTTAGCAATGGTTTTGGCATGGTGCCCAGCATTAAAAGCATCTTCGCCCCCTCCTCTTCACCCCAAAAATTTCAACACCCAATCTATTTAATCAGCCATGAAGACAGACTCTTATCTTTGCCAAAGGCTAGTTGACAAATCGGGTTTGGGGGAGGGAGGGGTTGGCACCTGGGGACACTGCAGGGGGCAAGGGGGGAAGTCTCTGCTTTTCATAAAAAGCACATTGTACATCCTTGGCAATGTGCTTCAACCCCCACCTCACACCCCCTCTGGCTCCAGCATGTAGCGTGCAGCGTTACAGGGTAGCACACGTACAGGCTGCGTTTATTAGAAAAGGTGCATCGCTTGGAATAAATGAATAATGAGAAAGCTTTTTTTCTTTCTTTTAATAAAGCTGGTTATAATCCTTCCCCTCCCTGCCAGGATGTCTCCGACCTCAGCAGTCCTCCTTCAAAGGAGCAATTCAGTCTCATTTGGTCACGAGATGAGAGGGAATGTTTATTTCGGTTTATGGGCCCTTGCAAAAGATTTGCAACCCGGTGGTGGTGGTGGTGAGTAATGCAGAGGTTCTGGATGGTTCTTTCTGGTGGCTTCCCTCAGCTGGGATTTCTATTCAAGTGAAGCAGGGGTGAAATCCAGCAGGTTCTGGCGAACCGGTAGCGGAGAGTTTGAGTAGTTCGGAGAACCGGCAAATACCACCTCTGGCTGGCCCCAGAGTGGGGTGGGAATGGGCATTTTGCAATATCCTTCCCGTAGGAGTGGGGAGGGAATGGGGATTTTGCAGTATCCTTCCCCCAGGAGTGGGGAGGGAATGGGGATTTTGCAGTATCTTTCCCCCAGGAGTGGGGTGTGAATGGGGATTTTGCAATATCCTTCCTCTGCCATGCACACCAAGCCACGCCCACAGCACCGGCAGTAAAAAAATTTGAATTCCACCACTGAAGTGAAGCCACTGTGCTAAAGCTTTTAAAAACACCGGGAAAAGGTTCATTCAAAGAAAATAACTATTGATGGGCGCAGACGGCGTGAGCGCAAGACGGTTCAAACCACGGGCAAAATTGGGCGTCAATTTCTGGCCGTTTTCATTTAATTCGAGTGGCCTACGAAATGCTTTAAATACGTCGAGCTCCTGAATAAACCGGTGCTGAGCTATCAAAAACGCCCCAATAAAGCAAGTCACATTTTTCTCGATTCATCAAGAGTGAAGGGAGCGGCCTACTGAAATATTTCGGGCCGCTCTTTGGATTTGCGAATGAAGTGCTAATTTAATTTGCCAAGCAGCCATTTATATGCCCCACCTGCAAGGCAGTGTCTTGTCAGCAACCCTGTTTTTGCAGAAAGGGAAGCTGAGGCTGGGGAAAAATAAAAATAAATAAAGCTAGCCGAAGTCTATCTAACTGACTCATCAGGGAGATTAAAAAATGCAACTGGGGCCTCTCTTTTTTTTATGGTCTCTTATGTATGCTACTGGTTACTACCGTTTTCCCAAAAATAAGACCTAACCAGAAAATAAGCCCTAGCATGATTTTTTCAGGATGCTCATAATATAAGCCCTACCCCCCAAAAATAAGCCAGAGTTAAGATTATCAGCCAGATAGATGCATTTAGTACCGTATTTCCCCCCAAAATAAGGCCTAACCAGAAAATAAGCCCTAGCATTTTTTCAGGATGCTCGTAATATTAAACCTACCCCAAAAATAAGCCCGAGTTAAGTTTGTCAGCCAGATGGATGCATTTAGTATCGTATTTCCCCCCCAAAATAAGACCTAACCAGAAAATAAGCCCTAATGTGTCTTTTGGAGGAAAAATTAATGTTAAGACCTGGTCTTAATTTCGGGAAAACACGGTACTTAATAAACAAAGAAAAGAACATTTTTGCCTGCTTTTCGAAGTGGGGTGGGTTGGTAGGAAGCCAACCAGCTTGGCGAAGTTAACATCTGAAGAAAAAAAAAAAGGAGTGCTGATGTAATCAGGTCTAAATCTTAGATCTCATCTAAGCTTTATTATCCTACCTGTGCATTTTATTTACTTAAGCCTGTTTCTCACGTTTTAATGCTGTTTTTCAGGCTCTACTCATCCCGGAGTTTGGCAAGTGGAAAATGTTAAGTAAGTTCGCCCACAGAACCAGCTTTGAGGCTATTCTTGCTCCTTGAAATACCAAGCTCCGCTGGTACAAGGAGTCCTTGACTTACGAACTATTTGTTTAGCAACTGTTTGAAGTTACAACAGCGGTTTTTAAAAAAAAAGGTGACTTGCAACCACTTGTTGCACTTACTACAAGAAAATACTTACAACTGATGTAAGTCAACTTACGACAGTTCATTTAGTGATCGTTTGAAGTTACAAGGCCATAAAAGAAGGAAGGGAGAGGAAGAGAAAGAGAAGAAAGATTGCTGTAAAGCAAAAAAGATGAAATGGAAGAAAGGCATTCCCCAACATGTTTAAATATATTAGGATGAAGAATGAATTATTAAAGAATTAAAAGAGAATATATATGATTAAAAACGGAGAAAATAGAATTTGAGAGTGAAAGAAGATACTGTTTATAGAAATAAGAACAGAAATACTAAGATTTGATTTAAAAATATGGAGAAAGAACACTTTGGCAGAAATTGTAACCAAGCAAAATATATTTGGATATGACAAATTGTATATGGTATATGATATGATAAATGGGCATTTTTTTGCTGAGCCAACTGTGGAACGGGCTCGTGGATCAAAGTGGAGAGAGCCACACGTGACGAGGGCCAGGGAGAGTGTGGGGGCAGAGAGAGAAATTGGAAGCCTGCCCTAGAATGCCTTTGTGTAAAAGCACAGCATGTGTTGTAGTCTCGGGGCAAATGAGGCAGAGAGATGGGAAAAGCAGGGATGTGGGTATCTTGCGTAAGACCGGATAATCTATCCAACCAGCCTGTTGTAATCATGGCTCGAGGGATAGAAACCTGGACAAACATACTCACTCACCGAGGCCGTTTGAAGTCCGGTGTTCTGGGACCAGCCTTCCTGGTTGTAATAAAACCAAAATGCCAGTGCCAAACCCAGCTAATAAATATTACCAGTCCCTTGCAAACGCCCCTCGAGAATCCATTATTTTGGCTGCTTATTATTTTTTTTAAAATTGTCTATTTATACTTTTTCCTTCTTCTTTAAACTACTACACAAATGCTTAACGAGCATGTATCGTCTGGATCCATTTATCCATACAAAGCATTAATAAACTGATTGTGAGAGTTAATATTAACAACCGTAATTAAAATACTAATAGTTGCTTATTTGTAATCAAATACTTACATCATTTACTTATAATATGCAATAATACTGCATATTGCAGAGCCTTGGTGGCGCAGCAGACTAAAGTGCTGTTAAGTAACACCAGCTGCCTGCAATTACTGCAAGTTCGAATCTCACCAGGCTCAAGGTTGACTCAGCCTTCCATCCTTTCTAAGGTAGGTAAAATGAGAATCCGGATTGTGGGGGCAATAAGCTGACTTTGTATAAAATATACAAAAGTATGAAGGCTATTGCTTAACGC